TTTAAAGGACTAGAGAAAAGACGGTAGATCTTCAGAAACAAATAAGATTTTCCTTTGTGAGCGTCATTTGAAGCCATTGTAAATTTTGCATTTTATGCATGCGCTTGTGTGATCAGATGTAAACAAAGAGGGCATTGTATTTGCATATTTACATATCCCATGTATATTAAATATCTATCTTCTGTAGACCCCAAACGAAAGATTTTATAACTGGTAGCGTACCACTGAAAATTTACCTACAATAAACACGAAGTTCCCAAGGCTGAGCGTCGCATTCTCAACGTATAAATACCAGATAAACAACCTACAAGCTTCGAATTACACACGTTAGTTCAGTGGCTGGCGAGGTGGCTGGTGTGTCCAGTATTGAAATTAAAACTAATGGCAGATTTAGATAATATGCAAATATGGAAAGTAGAAGAAATTCAAGATAACCTAGGAGGTCCCAGGCTCAAAAAGCAATTTAAAATGCAAAAAAAATCTTTAAGTTTTTCACTATCATATGAAAATGGTCCATGCTTGTTTAAGTTGTTTTGTTTCAAAAGTGGTATATTGCATGTAAATATTTTTTGTGGTCACTCGATTTTCATACCAAGATTGGTGAATTAAAGGCCATGATATTATATTATCTGGTATTCAACAGAAATAAAGTCAAATCAGGGTACATCAAAGTTTTAATGGGTTAATTAGGGGCTGATTACATGGAGCATTTTCAACCCTGGGGTTGACAGGCCTACAGTTGGGACCTACGAGGCCTGGGCTGAACCCTCGCCCTTGTCTGTAATACAAAATGCTATCAAAATCAAATGCATGATTTCAAAATTTTCAATTCAGGGCCAAGTTCAACCCCGCTTCAGCTAGCAGAGTTAAATTTCAACCCCAGGTTGGACTTCGCCTTGGGTTGAAAATTTTATCATGTAATCGTTTCAACCCAGGGCTGAAATTATTCATGAGTTACTCAAGTATTTGATGAGGCTGGTTTTTGTTTTCACTTCCGGGAATGTATAGCATTTCAACCCTGGGGTTGAGATTGTCCATGTAATCGCAAAATATTCAACCCAGTTATGTAAACATGGTCGAGTTCAAACCTGTGGTTAAAAGTGCTCCATGTAATCGTCCCCTTAGTTTGGTGTGATCCGCCTACTGTGGGGCAGGGCTGTACTGAATGGTGGCAGATTACCATAATCAAATCACTTCTATTTCGACCAGCCAATAAGGTTTAATTAATTATACAATATTATTGTATAATATATGATAAAATTATTGAATTATGGAAACAGTGTTCTGAACTTCTGACAATCATTAACAATTAAGAAGTTTATCAAGTTTTATATGTTATCGCATCCCCTTTCTCAATCACTCAATGCCTTTTCTTTGATTGCCTTTCATTAATTTAATAATGCTATACTTTAAAGATGCGGTACAGTCCGTATGTAAACAAAGGCTCTGTTTACATTTCGGTATCCAAAATATTGAATTTTATTCCACAACTAGTTATATTTTCATGATTCTAGAAATTATCAAGAGACAACAATCAAGCTTTGCAAGAACATAAAATGAAATAAAAACCTAACTAAACTGTTTGTAAATAAAAAGGGGACTCTGTGTGCACATGCACAGATTGGACTGTACATGCCGCATCTTTAATAGTAATAAAGTCTCTGGTGTAGGAAAATGCTCCGACTGTTAAATAAAGTTTAACTATATTTTCCGTACAGTTTTTGTGCAGAGTTCGAGGGTTGAACTTCACGAAAAATCACAGCATTTTCCAACAATGCCGACATTTTGCTGGTGTAGTGTTTTATAAAAATCCGATCAAATATGCTCAGGAATATATTTGCTACTTTATAGTTCTCACAATTTTATAGCTGCTCACACAAACGAGGAATCAAGCCATATAAAAACATTCTAAAAGTTTATCTTGATTGTTCCTTGGACAGAATGTTGTGTAAAGTGGCCATGCAAAGCATCGAACAAAGCATCAGTAGAGGAAACAGTAGCCAAACTGACCTGAATCGGTGTAATATAATCAAAACACGTCCTGTAATAGTCAACGCAGCACGAGTTTTGTCTCTCCGTTTACTTTATAGACTTGCACACTATCTCTCACTGACTAAAAGGAAAAACCCTCTCGCCATCAATTTCTTGTATAGCTTCGGTGAATTCAGCGTCTGTTTCGTCTAACAGTATTTCCGTTAGAGCAACAGACACATCAAAGTTGTATAAATCCTCTGCGGTTGCATCATCTAGTTGCGATAAATGTCTTCGCCCTTCGTCCTCTTATGCCTCGATCATAAACTGTTCGCGACGCTCGCTTTCTTCGATATTTTCATCTCCAACGTTCAAAATAGGTTCGTATGTTTGTTCACTTTCTGTTTCAATTTCCACTTTGATCTCAGAAGCCCTATAGCGTTTTGAAATATGATCTTTTGTTGGCATATTATGTTCTCGCCCATATGTTTTCCTAATCACTCATCACAAAGCACCCCCTTTCCTCGTCACGTGACACAAATAAAAGTGGTTCTCGACATAATTTGCCGCTCCCTTTGAAGTTTGCCGGCTAGCCTAACCATCTAATTCTATTAACCGTGAACACACTGAGTTCAAATCCGAAAACCTCCCGCGCCGTAGATCCGCAGTTTTCTCACAAACTGCTGTTTTATCTGCACTAACTTCACAATGAACAATTTCATTGTTCAACGACACGGATTGATGACGACACACGATTATTTCACTCAAAACGACCAATTTCTATTAACCAGTCTTTTGGCGATGTCACTGGCCTTTAACGCGATCAAGGTATTTAAAGCAAAGTAATGCGAAGCCAATGTAACGGCAAAGGTAACACTATTACACTACAATGAAATATTGTCGATTGGTTGCTGCTATAGAGGACTTATATAGCGGCGACAGGATCAATCTTAAATAACCTTAAACTAGAAGAATAAGTGTTCACATCAAAGCAAAGATCAGTGCCAAGGTATAAAATCCGGCTGTTCACTTACTTTGGTGATTTCAACGTATATGGTAGGCTCAGAATCCAGCCGTTGTGTTCTCGGCACTCGCCCCTTAACGGCTGGGTCAATGAGCTTCGACGTTGTTTTGATTGACCAATCACATTACAGCCTCCCAAAATTTGGAGGCATATTTAGTATTAATTATAATGCATAAATTTAACAGATGTAATAAATTAAATATGGCCAAAGCGCATTGCTTAAACGTTGTGCTGTTCAACGAGGTTGTGTGCTGTTGTGTTCATTTTTAAAAAGATCTGGTCAACAATATTACATGACTACATGGGTCAAAGCGACATTTTTCGGGGAAGAGTGGTTCGACGATTTTAACGACACGAACCGCTTTTAGAAGTCTCTACGTTTAATACTGGTTGGAATATTTTCGAATCTGTTGCATATTTTTATATTGTATTTTATAATAATATATCTCATTGAGAGGATCTTGCATGTCATGAACGGGCAAAGATTATTTTAAGTGTGGCCTAACAAATATAATAACCTTTCTATTCTTAGCTTAGTTAGCCAGGTCGCCTAGTCCTTTGAAAATCGAAATTTCTCCCTGTTTCGCCTTACAAAAATTTCACATTAAAGTTCATATATGAAATTGGAATTTCATATATGAAATGAAGATTTTCATATATGAAATGAAGATTTCAAATATGAAATTAGAATTTCACATGTGAAAAGGTTATTTCATATATGAAATTTTAGTTTCATATGTGAAATTCTCTTTTTCACATATTAAATTTCCATACATGAAAAGCAGGTCATATATGAAATTTTAATTTCATATATGAAAAACTAAATTTCATATATGAAATCCATTTCACATGTGAAAGTTGTTAATTCCATATAAGAATTTTCATATATGAAAATCAAGTCATATATGAAGTTATGCAATTCACATATGAAAAACTAAATTTCATATATGAAATCCATTTCACACTGAAATTTGGTAATTTCATATAAGAATTTTCATATATCGAAAATCAAGTCCTGTATGAAGTTATACAATTCATATATGAAAAAATAAATTTTACATGTGAAATCCATTTCACACGTGAAATTTGGTAATTGCATATAAGAATCTTCATATATGAAAATCTAGTCATAATATTATATGAAGTTATACAATTCACATATGAAAAAAGAAATTTCATATCTGAAATCCATTTCACATGTGAATGTTGGTAATTTCATATAAGAATTTTCATATATGAAAATCAAGTCATATATGAAGTTATACAATTCACATATGGAAAACTAAATTTCATATGAAATCCGTTTCACATGTGAAATTTGGTAGCTAATTTCATATAAGAATTTTCATATATGAAAATCAAGTCATATATATATATATATATATATATAT